CCTGCATCGGGTAAAGGCCCTTTTATCATGCATGATATGTACCAATTACCCAACCATCCGGGTGGGGTTTTAATATTTCTTGTTTTATAGTACATGTGATAAATTGAGAAGCGGCTTGTTTCATTTCATGTGTTGACAACATCTAAAAGAGCAACAAACAAAATGAAATTGCATATAATTGGCATTTTAGACCGAACATTCAAAAGTGCGACTTGGGTTATAGAAGGTGACATTACCACAGCGTGGCGGCTGTCTCACAAGGTTATTCTAGGAATTCTTTCATAAAACATTATTTGTAGAAAATTTATGAGCTTAGTCCAAAAATCCCTAAGTGTTGGATATGCTCTTACATTCTTGTGAACGTTTGTACAAAACTACAATAATTACAAACACCTAGTAGAATCTGATTATTTTTTTTAAGAATCTTTGCAATATCCAAGTTCACCCATGCCAATTTGGCATGTGGTTTACCCGCTTGATGACAAAATTCATATCTACTCAAGTTTTTTATTATATCAGAGATAGGTGCTTCCACTGTAATATTGGTTTTTCCAAAACTGATAAGTGTAGACAAGAAAACTCGAATGGTTAGAGCATACGCCTGGTAAGTGTAAAGCCAGTAGTTCAAATCTACTTAGACCCACTCTGCTCTGCTGGCGAGCTGCACTCGCAAGAGCGTTTTCTTTTCTTTTATTTGATTTTCTTTCCTTCGGCCTCTCATCTCACAACGTGCGCACCACAAAGTGGACAAGTAGAGAGTATAATTAACAACATAGCTTCAAAAACATTCAAAGTTTCTCGTTTGAAATAATCGAAACACATCAAAATGGTGCTGCCAGTACCAAACAATGAAAATATTTTACAAAAATAGGTTAAATTATCTATGATTAGATTATTATAAAACAGATTAGCAGTGGTTACATCCGTTATGTGGCGTTGGAGTCACATCGCTAATCTTGGTTATAATAAGACCTCCTAATTGTAAACCACGTAAGACTGAAGGTTTTCCATAACTTAAACCTTTGATGGTACGCCGGGGATAACAGGTTGATGACTCCCAAGAGCTCATATCGACAGAGTCGTTTAACACCTCATCATCTTGGGGTACTTACGCAGTAATCTGTAGGCACGAAGCTAGATATATGCTGGGAACTTCGCCGAGTATCTTACGAAATGACAAATGTGTCGGTACGGACAATCAGCTTCGCGTCTGAATCCCACTCATTAGAACCGAAGGATGCATTACATCCGCTTCGCAAATGATTTTCTAGTAGCAATCTCTGGTCCACAATCAGAAGCAGTAAAACTGAGATCTGAATTGGAATCATTCCTTAGAGACAAACTCCAATTAACACTAAGTATGGACAATTCGGGTTCCCAAAGGAGATCATCATCGACACGGATTCTCGCTTTACTAGTGAGATGTGGGACAACTTTATGGAGCTTGTTGGTATAGAACTATGTCAGTCACCCCCGAACAGATTGACAAACTGAGCGCATGAACTGCACCGTTCAGCTAGTGTTGCGTTGTCAGCCTGGGAGCTTCCCCGAAGACCCACTCGTGTCGACCCCAACATTCATTTCCCCTTGAGCCACGCCTTGGATTAGTCTCCGCCCTTAAGGTTACCTTCCTCCCCCCAACCCCTACGTCCTACTTTTGTTTTGTGAGGGTCGGGCGCACACAAATTGGGCATTTTGTCACAATCTCCGCCAACCTCCCTGTTCGAGACTCGAAGCGCGTCACTCAACCCCAGCAGCGCGCCACCCGAGCTCCCAAGATGCCAACCAGAATGGGTCCATTACATACGCTAGTGTTGGATTGATAATGGAAATCCTCGGGTTCTTCCGCACGCGTGGTCTGAATGGAAACAAGGTTGACCGGGGACCACCTTTTTGTTTACATGTGTTATGAAATTTTAGGCATGCCCGACAAAACACGACCTCCAAGTAACCACCCAGATGAGGTCGAAACTGAGTTATAAGGTTCCCGCTGTCAAACAACTTGTCACGAGCCCCTAAAACTTGCACCGGTTCGAAATTTAGACACAACAAGCAAAAATCCCCATGGTGATAGGCCCACGACACCTTGGAAGGAGCTCAACAGGAACAACCCAAAAGTGACCTTAGTAAGACTGAGCACTTAAGAAGCGAAGGTTTCACACAAACGCAGCTTGATAGCAGCTCAGAGAGAGATAGTTCAAAACAAAGTGCATATGATAGCGGCCCCCTCGTTGGTATTCCCTACAGAGCATGAAACTGAGCACAAGTTCGCTCGCTGATGCAACAAATCTAAACGAGGTAGTTTGTGTTGAATATAAGAATCAGAGCACGATCGAAAAAGAAATTATGGAGCACAAAGTTCTCTTGCTGATACAGCTTTACTAGGATGAAGGACAAATGAAAACATAGTTTCCTTATGGTCGGTTACCAATAAGCCCGAACTAGAGCACAAAGTTTCCTTGCTGATGAAAAATAAAGTACGAATAAGAACATGGCCTTGTCGTTGACATTTTACACTAAGCTCGACAACTAACCACCGAGTTCCCTAGCACGAAAGAAGATAAGGTTACCTCACGAAAGATGAGCGTCAAACCCCCTCAGTGTCCCAAAGAGATGAGTCGAAGTAAAACACAACCGTGGGAATGACTCGAAGAACAGTCAAAGGTTGAGCACTGATAGCAAATCCACACACAGAGACTGCTCGGTAACAAAATGAACGAGTTGTTCCAGACGAGTTTCTCATCCAACATGTAAGTTGACTTGGAATCCTGTCTCTGCAGCCAATCAAGCTCAATCGGAGAACGCCCTCCGGACCCGCGTACCACCCTTGATGCGCTCCCGACCTCTTCG